ACTAAGTTGAGGTTGAGTTCAGCTTATCATCCTCAGACTGATGGACAGACGGAGAGGACGATTCAATCGTTAGAAGATTTATTGCGTACTTGTGTTTTAGAGAAGGGTGGAGCTTGGGATAGCTATTTTCCATTGATTGAATTTACTTATAACAATAGTTACCATTCGAGTATTGGTATGGCTCCGTTTGAGGCATTGTATGGTAGACGGAGTAGAACGCCTTTGTGTTGGTATGAATCTGGAGAGAGTTCAGTAATTGGGCCAGAGATTGTTCAGCAGACTACTGAGAAGATCAAATTGATTCAAGAGAAGATGAGAGCTTCTCAGAGTCGTCAGAAAAGTGATCATGATAAGAGGAGGAAGAACTTAGAATTCAGTGTTGGAGATCATGTGTTTATGAGAGTTACTCCGATGACGGGTATTGGTCGAGCGTTAAAATCTAAGAAGTTGACTCCGTGTTTTATTGGTCCATTTCAGATTACGGAGAGAGTTGGAGAAGTTGCTTATCGTATTGCTTTACCTCCGAGACTTGCGAATTTGCACGATGTTTTTCATGTTTCTCAGTTGAGGAGATACATTCCAGACCCATCTCATGTAATCCAAGTAGATGATGTACAGGTGAGAGATAACCTGACAGTAGAAACATTGCCTATGAGGATAGAAGATCGGGAAGTGAAACAGTTAAGGGGTAAAGAGATAGCATTAGTGAAGGTTGCTTGGGGAGGTCCAGCAGATGGAAATGTTACTTGGGAGCTGGAGAGCCAGATGAAAGAGGCTTATCCGGAACTGTTCGTCTAAGGTATGTTTTCGAGGACGAAAACTCTTTTAGTGGGGGAGAGTTGTAACACCCCAGTTTTAATTATTTTATTTATTTAATTGGGAATTTATTTTATTAGAATTAATAAAATAAAAAGAATTATTTATTTTGGAATATTTGAAGGAAATAAAAGAAATAAGAAAATATTGGGTTTTTAAGTTATTGGGCTTGGATGTCGTTAGTAAAGAGTGGGGGTGCAAAAGAAATAAGGATATATATTTTGGAACTTAAGTTATTTCTCACTTTTCACGATAAAACAGAATTTGGAGATATTTGGGATTGGAGCTCTGAAGAACGAAGAACATCGCTCAAAGAACTCAAGTTGCAATTTGATAAGGTAAGGGGGGCTACTACTCGTTTTACTTTTGCTTATGGGTTTAGGTACGATTGATTTTGGATAATCGTAGGGAGAAACCCCAATTTTTAGATGTTCTTAGGGATCAATAACCTTAGGGTTGAACTTGTTAGAAAAGGTTTAAGTTCCCAAATTTTATGAATCAATTAAGGATTTTAGGTTCCTATGGTGGATTTGGAGTATATTTGTATGATCGAGAGTTTCCCTTAGGTAATTCTAGGGATAACCTCAATGTTGTTAGGATTTCCCTAAAGGACGGGTAATATGTAACTTAAGGTCAATTTTATAAAACTTGTTGTTGATGAAAGAATTGTTGATAAAATAGGATGTTTTGAGACGAAAATTCTGAGTTGTGTATGATTTGAAAAATAAGACCTTAAGTGAAGTAATGTTGTCCTTAAGATTGGAAATTGACTAACGTAGAAGGGAATTGTGTTTCCAATTGATGTGTTGCTTTGAGTTATGCAAAATTGATGTCGTTATGTATCGAAATGCACGTTTTGGCTGGTATTTTTCGTGTTTGGTTGCTGTTCTGAGCATGCTGCAGGTACAAGAATATTTTGTACGCGCTCATCGACACGGGCCGTGTTGCTGCACACGGGCACCCGTGTTGATCTTCTGTATTGGTAAAAATAATGTGTTTCTGGACACATTTCCACACGGGCAGTGTTGCTGCACACGGGCACCCGTGTTGACCTACTGTGTTGGCTTCTGAATTCTGTTTTCTGTGCATGCTGTTATGTACGGAATTGATCCTGTTTTGATGTGCAGTGTTTTATATGTTTTGAATATGCTGCTTATTGATTTTCCTAGTGTTGTTGATGCTTGTATCGAATAACGTTTGTATGTTATGATACCAACACTACGTAGATTTTATTGTCATGCTTTGAGATGATGTTATCAAGCATGAATTATGATATAACTTGATATGATTGGTTGATGTTTAATAGTGTGCTGAGTGATTACATGCTATCCATATCCTGTTATGATTGATGTTGTTGATGTTGCATGATATGTTTTATTGATGTTAATAGTATGCTGAGTGTTACATACTTTACATATCATGTTGCATTTGTTAATTTCCATTGTGTGGAATTAACATGGTGGCCAATATACGTGTCCGCGATTTAATGGAACGTTGAGGTGGTAGCCGTGTCCGTGATATAATGGAACGGTGAGTTGTCTGTGACCCGAGATATAATGGGGCGGTAAAATGGTACCACATGCATGGGTGTGTTGCATTATATTGAATATAACATGAATGGATGATTTTCCAATGTTGTATTTAATTGATTGTATGCATGTATTGTTGCTGAATTGTTAATGATGTGTGGTGTTAATTATAAGTATGAAAAGTAATATATTATGAATATGTGAATTGTAAAGGTTTTCGTAAACTATGAAACATGCTAACTGTTTGGGTGATGCTTATGGTTTTTCTGAATTGATTGTTATGAACGTATAATCAAATGTATAGTTGAGATGCTCACCCTTACTGTTGAACATTTCAGATTGAGGAGCTTCGTTCAGGTGCTTGGCGAAGGCTTGTTGTTTCTAGTTTATTTCTGTTTTAAGTATTGTCCGGGTCATGCTCTGATAGTTGTAACTCCGGGAACGTTTGTTTGTCGAGCTGCTTTAGTCAGACTCGTTTATTTCCTTATGTTTGTTATAATATGATGTTGATATATTCCAGGTGTTAATCCCTGATGATTTTGAAAATATTATAACATTGGTTTTGTTAATTAAATTATTCCGCTGTGTAAACATGTATGAGTTGCTTCTATGTTATGCATGACAGGAACTTTGTTTTTTTATTAAAAAGAGAATTGTGGCATCCTCGTTAATACATGTACTCTGAAAGTATGTTTTATTTAAAATCGCGAAATTTTATGCGGGGTTTTAGAGGGTGTTACAGCTCACACTGGCCTGCGATAGAACTCTGGTAGCGGTGGATTGAGTGACAGAGTTCCAAGAAGCGCAAGGCGGAGTCCCAGATTAGATCTAACGGGTAGTTCATATTTGTTAAGAAATATGTCTCGTTTAAATGATTTGTGTGTATCAGACTTAGTTATTTTATTTCGCTGATCCATTCATTAGTGGGTTGTGTTTTAGACCCGTTAAAGATTCATTGAGTTTCAACAATTATAAATATGTATCTCTATTATTTTTGTCTTCGCAAACTTTTGAATTTCAGAGTTGGAGATATAGTGAAGGGTTAGAAATCCTATTGGGAAACTTAGAGAGACAGGGGTGGAAATTCCTTGGAGTTTTTGGAATTTTAGAAACTCTTAGAAGTATCTAAGGGGATTGAAAAACACATATAAACACATTGTTCTTTGGAACTTGTATGACTATTCTCTTGTAACTCTTTTATAATCTATTGTAACAATTTTTGGAAGTATAATAAATCAAAGAGTTACTCTCTCCCATATAGTAGTGATCTAATTGGGTAAATAAGTTTCTCTATTTTCTTGTCGTTAATCTTATTTTATCTTGTTGTGGATTTTTCTTCACTCTTGACAAGTTATCAGGTGTTGCTTGTGGCCACTTATTTTAGCTTTCATATTCTTTGTCTCATACATTAAATTTATTGGTGTGTTTGAAGTTATAAACACATTCGCTATATTTGTTAAAGTTTTGACAACACTATCCAATCCATTCAAAAGGGATATCATCCTCGTGATAGATATTTAGGCTATTGAGTAACATTCCATGGATGACTAATCTAACTAGCTGGACACAATGGGTTTGGGGGCAGGGGCGGAGTTGGTTTTGGGAGGCGGGAACGGGGCTGGTAAGATTTTAACTCGTCCTGCCCAGTTGCCATGTCTAACTTCAAAGTAACTATTTCCATGTTGTGATAAGAATTTAGTATTTTCGATACCAATTGTTTCTAACCTTATTCTTCCCAATTTGATCTTTAAATATGAAGAGATTGGTCCAACACTCCGCTTTCTTCTCCTCCAAGTTAAGAATGAATGTCAATATAACTTGTGTCATTTATGAGATCTTGAATTGTATCCAAATCATCTCTAGCTTTCTTTATATTTGTATGCCATTATCAACAAAAAAGATTGTTTCATTTTTTAAGCAAAGACATGGGAGACTTCAGCTTTGTGGCTAAAGCATAGCTGGTACATCAAACTATTTGAATTTTCCAATCTTCAGCTACAACACCTCTGCATGTATCATTCGGGATCCATATCTTTTAAAACTTAAATAACCTCTGCATGTATCATTCAGAATCCACATCTTTGGAAAACTCCAATGGAGTAATCATCAAACATATTGATTGGTATGATGGGTAAATCCATTCATTTTTTATAAAAGTCAAAGCTTCTTCTCTTGAATTACATACCTCTAATCGGGAATTTTCAACACCCATAATAACACATCATCGATGTCATCTTCTTTGAATGGACAGATAGAGATCCTTGACTGAACTATTGCATTTGCCATAACCAGATGATAAGTTTTACAATAAAGCATTGATAGTATTATATACTTACATGATCAAAAGTCACCAGCTATGTTTTATTTATATAGTAATGTAGGACGACTTTGTGTGCAAATCAAAAGTCATCGATTATGTTTTCCTGTATTGGTTGTATTATCCTTTTCTGCAAATTGTATGAAGCTTTCAATACTTAGTAATAATTAACTAATACAATAATCACAAATATTCAACTGTCAAATAACAATATGTGACAACTAGCAATATAAAAAAAAAAAAAAAAACTCAAAAAATTGTGAGTAAAATAAGTGACAAGTCATAAGTAAGAATAATAAACATAGGCATAGAGGAACTCAAGACAATAAATCTCTAAGTTAGACTCCAATTGCAGCTATATCAGTAATTCCAAGTTCAGAACAAAGTGACTTCAAGCCAGATTCTTCCAACAGACTGAAAGCAGCATATCCATAGTAGGAATGGTACAGATCTGGAAACTCCCCTGGGAATTTGCTGAAACCACCATACTGGTGCAAAAACAAACACAAGCAGCAAAATCAGTTTCAAAAGTAGTTAGGTCCCCTTAAAATATATGACATTGTATGAAAAGAAATTCGTAACTGTAGTACCTTGTATTGACAGGAAACCAAAAATCCGTGTAGAGCTTTATTGTCGACAAAGTTGCAGCCCCCTAGAATTCTTAAGACAGCTCCAATCCTACAAAAAAACGTATGATCCCTGTCAAGGCTTTGACAACTTACAATGATAATTGTAACATAAAAATTGAGTAAGGCTCGATATTATTCTTACCAAAATGCATAACATGTATCACTAGATTTATTCGGTCTACCTTGAAATCCACCATCAGTTCCCTGTCTCTGAAAAGGAAGACTGAGTAAATGAATCTTGACCAGCAAAAAAGAGAATTCATTCATGTGTTAAAGTCAGTGTTGTCAAATATCGGCCATGCGGTGGCCAATATTGGCTGTTTTGCCATGGTCCACCATCCATCCGCAAATGCTTTTTATCGGTATATGATTAAAAGAAAAACTGAAAAGGAGAGGATGTGATACAAACCTGCAAGATCCAGTCCAACAGCAATGGGAAATCTATCAAAGAAGACAAATTACAACTTGAGAGAATATTGTCTTCGATAAATCCCATTAACCGGAGAGACACAATAGCACAATAAGTTGCACCACCTGTGACACTAAAACAAGTAATGTTGATAAATATTTTTGAGCAATAATGAGCATTTAAATAAAAATGCATGAAGATTTCCTTTCAAGATGCGTGTACAGAACAGAAACTCATATATTTTAATCTCCAACTACCAACCAAGACATCATAGAAATTTATCAAGAAATCTTTCAACAGATTATGATAATTGATACAATTTTAAAAATCTGGACCGAAGTGGACAGTTCAACTACTTGAACCACTAACCGGCACTGTCTATGGTTCGGTTATTTGAGCAGTATAAAGCAGTTGAACCATGACCCAAATGTCTCGTTAGTTCGACGTCTAGTTGGATTTAAAACTGACTATGCGACAAATTACACTGCAACAGCCTTTCTTAGTTCTTACAATATAGAATCGTGTCTAAATTGTGATAAGAGATTGATTGAACTCACCGTGAGATTCTGCACCAGGAACTAATCCAAATCCACCATCATAAGACTAGAAAGAAAAAAGGAAAAAGAAGAATATCAGTATTGTTGGATGCTGTCAAATTCTGCATAGTGCAAACACATTTATTTAACAACACTTTGTACTAAAAAGTGACTTGTTCAAACTTCACTCGGCTATCGAGCTATCAAACAAAACAAGAGGTACAATTCGCACAAACCTGGCATTTTAATATGTAATTCTTGACTTTTTCCTTGTCCATGCCATTCCAGTTACCCAGCATGAAACAAATGGCAGCTGAAAAAGTTAATTAGTTAAAAATTAATATAAAATATACCATGATTATCAACTAGCTATTACGTGCATTTTTCTCTAACCTGCACAATATACAAACCTAAGATCGGTTTCACCACCAGAATGAATAGGCATGAAACTGTCAAAATAGATAAAAACTTCATGAACAAGAAGTAACTCAAATTATTGACATGGCTAATGCATAATAAGTTAAGCATAAAGCGCACGACTCTACTCCAAATTTCAAAAGCTGACCTTCCATCAGGCTGTTGAAGATTCCTCATGGAAATCGACATCGATTCAGAATCAAGATTGGAAAAATCATATCCAACGATTTTTAATATGGATAGGGCACAATAAGTACTTGCCAAGTGACTATTGTTATGGCAAAAAACCTTCAAAAAAACACAATAGAAACAACTTAGTGTCGGTTCAAATTTACCAATTTGAGTTTATCTATTATCGTAAGAACTTGCCATATATTTAGGAAGAGTTTATGAAAACAACTAATGGCATGCTCATAACCTGTTTGTTTTCAGTTTAACTCCATAAGCAACTCAATAGAAACAACTTATAACTTTTATATGAAAAGAGTTTGACTATATCTAATCTTTCTGTTATAAAAATAGCATATGCATAAAATAAGCACTTAAAAACTTACGTGATAAGTGTATATGCTATAAACTAAGCGTATTTTTGGTTTTACAGTTGGATCACATAGAATTGATTCTACATGTGTACAATTGATTTTGACATGTTTGATTGCTCCTCATGTAGAATTGATTCAACTTTCCAGAATTGATTCTATTTGGATTGACGGTGGACAGAATTAATTCTAACAGAATTGAGTTTGGTATAATTCATTTTAACATAATTAAGTTTAGCAGAACTGATTTATATTTGGATACATTTATGTAAAAGTGAATTGAACAATAAATTTCAGTATAAAAATCATCTAAAATCAATTCTGGAGGCAGAAGCTACAAATTTTAGTTTCAAGTAGAATCAATTCTGGATGCAGAATCAATTTTTTTTTGAAAAATCAATCACCACAAAATCATCCAGAATCAAACGTGAAACCAAACATACACTAGGGTAACATGATTCTTACATTGAAATTTACCGTTAAACTCACTTTTAACCATAATCAATTTACTCATAATCAATTTTTTTCACCGCAAAACCTGACTTATACTTGACCGAATTAAGGAAAACAAAAAACAAATATTAGCAATTGAAAATAATCCAAACCCCATTTTCATCCGGAGGAAACTGCGAACTTCTAGACCCATGAAACCCATAGAATTGCCCTGCATCAAAACCCATAAAATCAATAATCTAAAAATCAAATTTTTACGATTCAAAACAACTAAAATACCCATTTGCATACCATTGTTAGGGTCAAAAGTGGTTCCATGTCGAACTTGAAAAGACAAGACCCAATTGGCAATAGCTTCCTTGTCAACGTTTTGGAGAGCGTTGAGGATGTCGAGAGAAGAGATAACGAAGTATGCGAGAGTGAGGTGGTTGATTTCTTGGGATTCGTATGGGTTCGGAAGCAAGTTGTACATCATCTCAGTGAATGTAACGTGGAGATCTTTGTCCATGGTTTCGATTGATGATGCTTCGGAGGAACTCATCGGTTGCTCTTGCTATGGATGCAGGATTTCAATTTTCAATGATGTCAATTCTCAAAAATATCAATAAGTACTATTTTTATATTTTACCATATTCTTTGTATTTTAATTTATATATTTAAAAAAAATCAAATATTAATTTCTTGATGTTAATAGGATAAAATTAAAAGAAATAGTATAATTTACATTAATTTTATATCTCTTAATATATAAAATATTGATAATAAAAATAATTTATAGTGTTATCATATGATATCATAGTCATATGCATTGCCTTTACTTATAACTATATATTATAGTATTTTAAATTTTTAAGAATGCAATTTCATGTATATTATTTTTTAGACATAAGATAAAATTGTAAGACACAATTTATATTTATCTCTTAAGTTTTAAATTTATTTTGAAAATTATAAATTTATTCGGTGGTAATGTATAAATGACTTAATAAAAAATTATGTTGTTCTCTATATGTGTTGATTTAATAATTTTTTTAATAAAAAAACGAATCGATCGAACTAATTCAAATCACATTAATTTGATTTGATTTTATTCGATTTTATTTCTAAATGACAATTGAACCAAATCAAATTGCACGCTTTTTTCTCTTGCAATTTGGATGACTTTTAAAATAAAAACCGCATCGCGAAAACCCTTAAATATGATTTTTATATATTAAATGAGAAGTTGTGGTTCAAATATGATGAGTTATATTATTATTTGATAGTGTATGAATGAATAAATATAAAGTTATGTTGTCATTTATTTGTGGAGAATCTCTTAATAGACCCTTATATTGGTGAAGAAAACCTTTGAAAACTCCAAAATGCCCTTCGGAGATGCATCTCCGAACGCACTCTAAATCAATTTTGAAGGTGTTTCAGAAATGCATCTCCGAAAACATGTTTACACGTTATTATTATTTGTACATTGTATTTAAACATTCAGTGGTATTTTCGGATATACATAGGAAAACACATATTTCGGAGTTGACTATGCATAGGAAACTTTAGACACAATTATATGAGAAAAAGCTTAGCTCCAAAAACACCCTTCAATAAAACTCACAGTGCTCTTGTTCCATGTGTTAGCGGTCACACACCAGTTACAAAGTTGATGTGTTAGCGGTCACACGACTATACGATTAAATACATATGTATCTATTCAACATTTTACCGTTGTTTACTTTTACCAATTTAATTTTTTCTCTCCATGTTTTTATGGTACTGATTCTGTTTGTTTGTGATTCTGCATAATTCAGATAATGCATATGCGAAATAACACTCTTTTTTTAAATAAAAAAAGAACATGAGTTATTTTGGATATGTCTATCTGAAAACTCTTTATTTTTGTAAAAAAATGGTGAATTCAGAAATTAATATTCAAAACATGCCTTGGTGGTAGGATAAGAATTCTTGGGTCCAAATTGCTCCAAATCTTTTATAAATAGGGTCTCAAAACTATTTCTTCAACATCACACACCATAAATAGAGATGAGCTAAACATATCCTCACATTACTTTTGTCTATTTCAGTGGTGGGAAGTCGCCACTTCAATTTAGGTTCTCCGAGGACACGTCTCTCGTCGGGTTTATTACCGTATTGAATTCTCTCATGCAATATCAAGAAAATCAAAAGGTGGTCAAGCTCGAGTATCGTTCACCCTCACTTGACACCGAAAGAAAGATAAAATCCACTCATTTTGCATTGAAGACGAATGACGATTTAAAGGGTAGGTGGAGTACTTTTCACTGATACTCTACTAAGGTCTGATTGAAATGGATGCGAAACTTCAAAGATCGGGAGAAGATGTTATCAAAATGTTGCAACATCCTCAACTACTTGTTTATAATAATATGTAATGTTACATTTATGTTCCACTATCTATATAATTTTGACTATCTATGTTAAATATATGTTAAGTTGCTTTGGTTTTAAGGTTTTTGATTCTGTTTGAAAATCAATGTTTATTTCGGATATGTAATGTTAAATTTTTGTTCCACTATCTATGTAATTTTGACTATCTATGTTAATTTGCTTTAGTTTTAAGATTTTTGATCATGTTTGAAAGTAAGTGTTTATTTCAGATATGCGTGTCCGGAAGCTACCATTTGGTGGTTTCATATATGCATCTCTATACCTATTTGATAAAAACTACAATGTAGTGAGTTTAGATATGCATCTCTGAATCTATTCGATAAAAAATTGTAAAGTGGCGAATTTGAATATGCATATCCAAATTAAGGGGGTATTACAAGAATTTCGCCAAGGACCTCTAAAAAGACATAAGGATGCATTAAGAAATTTTCTTATGTATATGTATGGCTCAATAATTTTTTTTGAAAAAAACTGAACTAACCAAAAAAAATCAATCCGCGTTGGTTTGATTTATTTTCAAAAACCAATCAAACCAATTCAAACTGTATGATTTTTTTCTTATGATTTGAATAAATTTTTACATCAAAACCGCCTAAACCGCACGACAATCACATAATTATATTAGTATTATAAACATACTATTATTTTCACACAAATAAAAACTATAAATAAACACTTTTGATGAGAAAGAGGAATAAAACACTTTTGATGAGAGAGAGGAATAAAACACTTTTATTTATGAGAAAGAGAAAGTATTTTATTTTAAGAACACTTTTAAGTTATTTAAAAAAAAATCATAATTACAAAAAAATCACTATAAAAAAAATCATAATTACAAGCTATCCTGGAAGAATCTAGTTACCAACAATTCATGAAAAGACTAAGAAAACAAATTGCACAATCTCAAAAATAAAAACACTATCAACCTTCCATTAGAATAGGAATATATATTTCTTAATCTTCTTATTATTCCACCTTCCATAAACGAATATATTTAATTATAATATAAATTAATGATAATTAATTATATAAAAAAAATTATGATGAATAATAATTTAATATAAAAATGAAAGTATTTTATTCAAATTTTTGAAAAAAAATATATTTACAAAAATATTATGAAATTATAATTTAATAGGATTGCGGACAACCCATAACAAAAATACTACTATTATAATTTAATATAATATTATATTAAAATTAACGTAAATTAAATTTTAAAATAAATATGAAAACATTTTTTATATTAATGATTTTTTTATTTATTTTACGTTACACATAAATCAAATACATAAAACACTGTAACCAAAACAAAAAAAAACATAAAACACACAAATTCAAGAGAACCTATAAATTATATCATTTTAAGTCTAATGACAAAATTTGGCATAACATTTGCTCACAGCCCCGATAGTAATTTTCTCGAACAGTTGGTGTGCACACTTCAAAACCATGAAACGCAGCAAAACAACGGTCTTAACATTCGCGGAGAAATGCAAGGTTCTTTCTCCTTCTCTTCTCTTCCCCTCCAATTCCATAGCTTCTTTCCCATTATTGATTTTCTGCAATGTTTCATTTCATACATGATTTTATTTCCATCGCATATATGCAGAATATACTGGCATCAAATTGGCAAGGTTCTCTTAATACTATCAAAGTAGATGCCAAAGGAAGGTACCCTTTTGTCCTTTACTTACTTAGTTTTCGGTTACAATCTGTTTCTAATCAGTTATGAGATAACACTAGAAACACGACACTAATACTCTGAGACGTCGACACTTCTAATAATTTGAAAAAATGAATAAATTAAATATAATTATAAGTGTCAGTGTCGGTTTCAGATACTGACACCTCCTGCACAGACAAACCTTTTTTCAGAGGTGTAGGTACTAAATAGGTCAGGAGTTAGTTGGGGATGAGTAAGAAATCTGAACTCATTTAATATTGTAACACACTTCAGTTTATTCTTGAGTTGAATACAATCTACAAACTGTTTCATACACTTTCTATTATTTTTTCTCATTTTTTGTGATAAGTTCAATTCCATGATACTTATTAATATTTAGAACGTAAGGAGCGAATGTTTTGTAACTGATTAGGTATATGTTTGGATTGACTGTGAGTTTGGCGAAGTTACGGTTACCCTGATTTTGTTGAAGCTCCAAAATGTAACTTTTGCAATAATTGTGATGACAGACCGTGATTTCATCAAACTCACTGTCAATTGAAATGTCCACTAACCTCTGTAGCACCGACATCTCTGAAAAAATGTGTGTTGGTGTCCGTGTCGGACACTGACACCAACACTTATGATTACGTTCAATTTATTTTATTTTTTCAAACTATTAACAGTGTAGGTGTCGAGTGTGGTGTCTGTGCTTCATAGACACTAACTGGTTTGCTAATGGGGTCTTTGTTTGTTACTTTTGTATGATTTTAACAGCAAAGGAGATATCCATACATCTAAGATTAAGTATATACTTAGAAGAGGGCAGCCATACCTTTGGGTGCCAGAAAATGATTTGCATAATATGGTATGTTTTTTGCCTTTTCATTTTCTTTTTTCTAGAGTTGCTTTTTTTTGTGTTCAATGTGAAGATGATAAGACCTAAGAAGTTTAACATGAATGTATCTGTTTTGACCTCAAGTCCGACAAATCGTTTTTCTGAGGTATTTGTCTGTTTTGGGTCTTGTGTAAGCTCTTACGATTTCGTCCGTAGTTAAAAGGCATCTCTTTGAGTGGAGGAGAGTTGGTGTTAGTTTTTGGTGTATCGGAAGAATATCTTATATTATATTCGAGTATGAAGTATCAAAGAGATAGTGTTGCTCTAAGATAATTTGGAGTCTCCTTAAAATTGAGGTGAAAATTTCAGGGGAAAATTGATGTTTGATTTTAACTTTTTCCTTGTAATTAATTATTGTGACAACTCGTTGCTTTTACAGTTATTACTGACTAGTCTGTCTTCCTCTACATAATCTTTTTATCAGTCTTTGTTGTATAAACAAATAAGTTCTAGCAAACAGTTAGATCCGGCAAGTTCATCAAGTTCTAGCATTATTAGCATAGGTCAGAAGGAATAATTAGAAAATGACCCTATTAATGTTTATTTACACTTTTAAGAATAGGCTTAGATGTGCTGACCAGTGTTGTTAAATGGGGCTCATGGCGGAATGGTGTGGCATATTTTTTAACAACCGCAACTGGCTATTTTTGAAGAGATGCCGGACATGGCGTGCTTATATGGCGGTTTTTTGGCATTGTGCCATATTTTTCTATTTGCCATTGACAACATTGGGTCTTGACAAATCATTTGAGTACTTTTGCAGATGACACGTTTGGTTTTTGTTTTATGCAGAACAATATCATTGACGAGCGTGGTTCATTTGCTGTGACTAGTCCCTTTCCAGGCCGACTAGGAGTCATCTTGAAATCATTGAAAAAGGTTGTGTATATGCCTGTAGGATATGCATGTTTTCTTTTCGTAACGAAAGTAATATCATGCAATTTTTTTAAACCTTTACTTGGTTCTCCAAGAAATCACTAATAAAGGACTTTTGTCCTAATGGTGCTTTCTTTCAGATCGTTGTTAAATAGCGACTATAGCGCATAAGTATTAGTAGAATTTGAACAAGTCACTATTTTCCATGATATGCTATTTAGCTCTGTAGCACCGACACCTCTGAAAAAATTCATGTCCGTGTCAGTATCGGACACTAACACCGACATTTATGATTACATTCAATTTACATTTTTTCTAATTATTACTGGTGTTGACATGTCAGTGTCGGTGTCATGTCCGGTGTCCGTGTCTGTGTCCGTACTTCATAGCTATTTTGTCAAAATCTTGTCATATAGAAGCTATAGCACTGTTGTGTAGCATAATATGAATAAACTGCTATTTTTTCGAAATTTGCAATTGACAGCACTGTTTCAGATTCTCTTATAATTAGAAGAAATAAGGTACAAGCTAATTAGTTCATTCACATGCTGCAGTTACCAGCAAGGGTTGCTTTATCTGGAGATGTTCTTCCTCTCAAAGAAGATAAGGTATTGCTAAAACATCTTTTCATATGCTTGGTTTTTATCATTTTGCTAACATAACTTATGAAAATAACGCTATTCATTTTCATCTCAAAAGTTATTTTTTTAAGCTTTATAGCTTTTCAACTTCTCAATATTGGCCAATAATAATTGAGCATTATTTTTAAAAAGAATATGCAAAAAGTATGTAAATTGTAATCCGGATTCTAATCCTCACCGAAATGGTTAACTCTTCTTTTCAACCCCTATATGGGCAACATATCTTGTTTATTTCTTTTAACTATCTCAGGCTAACTAAATAACTATATTAATTATTAACAATCAAACCTTTCATATTCCAATTTCATAATTGTCAATTAATATCTGTGATCTAATAAAAAGAACTAAAAAACATTTTGACAAGCCCTAAATGAAGAAGGGGGACAGCTAAGTCTATATATTTTCAGGACATTGTCTTCCAACTGTATCTCTATTTGAACTTTTATTTTATGAAAGTTTTCATATTGGATTTGAAAACTTTCCCCGTGAAAATATAGTGCTTTAATAACGTTTTGCATATTGTGTTCTTTCTTGTTATGTAGTGCCGACACTTCAGATCGAAGATATGTTTGGTCCTAAATGTGCTCTTAAATTATTATTATTGGTGTCTACCTGTCAGTGTCGTGTCAGTGTGTGTCCATATTTCAGTTCTTAATACATAAACCAATAGATCATATACTAAAAATCTAAACATTACTTTCAGTTTTATGCTCCATCTTCTTTTTTCGAATGAAAGGATTAGAGTCCTATTATCACTTATCCTCCAGTTAAGTTAGATATAATAGTATGAAGGATATTTCATCATAACATTGGCAAGTGACAATAGAATGTTGTATATTAATATAGACTTGTTCTCGATATTGACACTTTATTGATCTTGGTGTAGGCAAAGTCACTTGGAGAAAAACTTAACAAAATCATACTATCTGAGCAAAAGGCAACTGAAGAGTTCAGTTACAGTGTTTCTGAAGTACTAAATTCTAGTGGTAGCAGTACATCGCGAAGTGATAATCTTCAGGAACTATTGGGAGACACCGAAAAATATTCTGTATATAGATTTAAAACAAGGTGGGAATTTGAGTGAATAAATCTCTGTTTTGAATTGCGTTGTTTCATATATGAATGCAAAAATCATATCTGCTTCTAGTATCTAGGGTCGGCTCTTCCCCTAATTCCGAACACTTGCCTTGCGTCCATTGAAGTATGATTAGGACAACTATTAACTATGTGTAAACTTTTAAAATCTGAACCGTTTGTTCCTTCTAATATAAGAGTTAAATGCTCAGATCATGCACATTTATTGATGGCCATGGAAGCACATTTGACGTGGATGTTGAAAATTTAGGAACATCCAAAGCCGATCTATTAGGTGAAGACCTGGTTTGTAACACATTATTCAACAATCTCTTATTTATGTAACAAAGTATTCATGTCTTGTATTTTTCTTGTTTAGCTCCATTTTCAGCAAAGCTGATTGACGGGATTAACCAAAGTGAGACTAGGCGTAGAGCCCTCGTGCTTTTATGTTTTGTTTACATGAATGCCAATGCAAAGGTAACTTAATGATCTCGATTCTTCTTCACACCACAATTGTTCAGTTGGTTACTTGCAAATCTTTTTTAAGGATTCTTCTTTACTAACTTAATAATCTTGTCTTACGACTAACCATGTTAGCCTTCATTTAATCTGAACAACAACTAACGAAGCTTTTGGTGTTGTATTAAGGATGCTTACGTAACATCGGTTGATCGCAAGGGGTTTGATGTGCTGGCAAAAGTTACTGGTCCAGTTTCGAAGGATGGTGTTGGCGAGTACCAATGGAAAGAGTTCAGGTTCATGTTCGAGCGAGAGGCAAACGATGTTGAAATGTTCTGCATTCAACTAGTTGAAATGGAAGAGGAGGTCATCAAGAAGGTTTCAGTCTCTAGTGGACTAAACTAAACATGCAACCTTGGTTGGACCCTTTTTTTTGTTATATTAATTTTTTTGTTTTCAGCTAAAAGATGAGTCATTCAACATCGTAGCCATTGAAAACTAGTTTAAAATTTGAAATTCTGTAAAAGTGATTGAAGTGCTATGAAGGGTCTGTTTGGATATGGTACATATTTTTCAGTTTATTTGAGATTATCTGTTAGTATAAGCATTTGTAAGAATGTTTGGATGAATTAATTAGAAGGGTTTATCACCATTTCATAAGCTATTAGAGTCTTTCTAGTACACAACTTAAGTGTTTATTGATTAAGCGTAGGTTTGAATTGGCTTCTACAAGCCCCAAAAGTATTTTTATTCTACTTCAACATGAAAATTTTGGTATTTTTCGAAAATCAATTCTCCTCTTTCAAAAGCAATTATATAATTCCTAGCTTGAGTTTAGTATAATCAATTTTATATTTATTAGTATATTTTATTTGTTACAATTACTTTTAATTTTCCTTTTATACCTTTTTTAATTTTCATAAATTACTTTTATTTTTTATTTGTATTAGAATTTATTACTATTTTGATAATTACACATTCAAAATCCATTATGATAAAAATTATCCAAATATTCATTGACAATCAGTTCTATATTATTGTATCCAAACATAAATCTGAAGAATGGAAAAACACAAGAAGGGGGGTTTGAATTGAGGTTTTTAAAACTTTAAGTAAAAAACACGTTGGTTATCCTGATTCGTTTGAACTCAAACTACTTCACTCTACCCGTCAAGGTGATTTCGCCTCTCTCAACGAGATCTTAATCCACTAATTAAACTTGATTACACAGCTACTATGACAACCGTCAAAGTCTTCTTGAGTTTAAACCACAACCCGGTTTTCTCAAGGAATTACACTATACAATATTTAAGAGAGTGTACAAAAAGTATTTTCTAATAAAACAGTATCACACAAGTGATGTTTTACACAAATGAAATTCAGTACGTTGAAGGTGGTGAATATGACTCGTTTGTTGTGCACTCAAAATCGTAAATGATTTTTCCTTCACGCTTTGTTTATATAGAAAACACATGGGAGCTTTTGGAATGTTGATAAATAGTAATTAAAGAGCTTTCCAAAAATAGAGATTCTTGTTCCCTTTCAGTCGTTACTTTTGAATAGCCATAAGTGATTTGTAACACTTCAGAACATGTTTACTTCAGAACATGAATGTTACCGTTACTTCTTTCCAGAACTGTATGAATCAGAATAACGGAGTTCCTGCTCGCATCGTTTAGGAACTCAGAAGCTGCAGCTTTAGAACTTCTTTATAAAAGATGTATTGAATCGGAGTTTGAACAACTATCTAATCCATCTTCTGTGCTTCTTCCATCAGAACTTCTCTGCAAAATAAATTATTTATTTAGGGAGCATAATTGTTCTTTGAGTGTTTGTTATCATCAAAACTCTTACAAGGGTTGTAGAATCAAACTATGTTCTAACAATCTCCCCCTTTTTGATGATGACAAAAACTTGGATATTTCGATAGAAACTTAAAGAACATAAAGCATTTAAAGTCTCCCCCTGAGTTGAATACTCAGATAAAGAAGAAATACTTTCGTGAAGATTATTCTGATCAGAGTTTTTGTGAAAAGAAACATGATGAGTCCACTTTTGTCCTTAACAAAGTTTGTTCCTGTTTTGCTTTCAGAAAAAACAGTAGAAGTTATGATATTCAAAATGTTTGAGACTAAGTCTCCACATTGTTATATTAGAAATATATGACGTTCTCCCCCTTTTTGTCAAGAATCAAAAAGCAATAAAAATACTTTAAGCAATAAAAAATAGTTTGTATTCAAAAGGATTTCAATAAAACACATTTCGATGAAAACAGAAAAAAATAAAGAAAATAAATTTCAGAACTAAGTTTGAGGTGGTGGAAGTCGTGTGAACAGGACTTCCAATAAACTCTTGATCTGACTGTTTGATTCCTCTTATTTTCCAAGCATCCCCTTAATTTCCTTACATGTATCATCCTGCTTGTCTAGCCTTTCCTTAAACACAACATTCTCTTTCTTCAACTTCTCCAGAGTTTGCAGCACAAGAGATGAAAAGGGTATATCAGCAGAAGGAATCACTTTTCAGAGCAAGTTGCGGCTGATTCCGACTCAGGAGCTTCTTCAACTTCCTTGTCTTTGTCTTGAAACCTAACCAAAGACAGAGGATCAGAGGATGGTTCATTACATTCTGTTGGCTGATGATCTTCCCAAGGGGCATTGTCCAGTAAAAAGAGGCTTCTTTTCTCAGTGACACAGAACTTGATCTTTGAAGATATTCAGATGATCACATAAGTTTGTTGAGCAATTTAATAACTCAACTCCTTGAGTTTCTGGGATTCAGAGTTGAACCATTTTCTGAACTGGTTCCAATGAGAATCAGAAGCAGCAGGATTAAGATTCTCTAAGCAAGCTAGCTTCAGAGAGTTAACCCATTCCTGTATTTCTGTTTCAAAAATCAGCAAAGATTTACCAACATCTACTTTGGAGATTTTTTGTTTTGGGTTTGGTACGACAATTTTTTGAGAGGTTGTGACAAGATTGTCCAGAGCTTCTAAGTCTATAACAATTCGAAGGGGATATTCTGGGAGGGTTTTTGGAGAGGGAGAGTCAGGAATAACAATGGGTGAATGTGGTGTATTTGGTGGAGTGAATTTATAGGGAGATGGAATATCTGGGATGGAGTGGATTGTGAGTGGTTGTGAGACCATGAGAGGACAGGTGATTCTAGGAATGGATGTTGTGGTATCAGATTCAAAATTTTGATTTTCTATGTGGGGAGCTTTAAACAGCGGATCAAATTGATCAATGTCAGAAAGAACTTGAGAACGTTCAGGCTGATTTTGGTCAAGATGGGTAGTAGGTGGATTGTTCAGAAGGTTATCTAGAGATAGTGAGGGGTCAAATTCAATGTCAAAGTCATCAAAAGTTTATGGTGATGGATCTTCTGTGGGTTTTTGAGATGTAGGGTTTTCAGATGTTGATAGCAGTACTGATTCAATAACAGAAATAAAAGATGTATTACCTTTCTTTTTAGCAGCCTTTGGAATCTTCTGAGAAGTTCCTTCTGCAGCAGCTTTCCTTTTCCTTGATTTTTTGGGAGCAATTTTCAAAGGTTGTTGTCTCAAATCACAGATGTTTACTTCTGGATTTGTCCCATCCTTTTTACAAGCATCCAGATACCTGAGAATAATCTCTAGAGAAGCATATGTTTGGGTAAAGAGTGGAAAGTTCTTCAAAGGTACTCTTCTATTTGTAATGACTTTCTTGGTTGTTATTGTTGGATCATTCTTGATGGTTTCAATGATCTTCATATTCTTCAGTTTCTTAGCGTTGAGAGGTTTACCAGCACAAGCTTCCAAAGTGCTGACTTGTTGAGCTTCAGTCAGATGTTCTATCAGTTTGTTTTCTGTCAGAATATCTGAGATGAGTCTGCCCAAAGGAATCCAGTCTCTCTTTGTTCTTTCTTCCTCTTGTCTCTTTGACGCTGGTCTTCAGATGATTAAACAGAAGATGAGGAAGATTAACCTTTAATTTTGTTGCTATGAAATACAGAAGATACTGCTGATCAATATTTATATAGTCTGGAGAACTTATGGGTTTTCTATGATTGATGCAGCCCAAAATGATTTTTGACCAAATTCTGAGGTAGTCTTTCAGATCTTTGATTTTGTTGGAAGGTTGTTCAGGAGTAAAAATTTCTTTTGAAATCTTTGTTAGGTCAGAGCTTTTGCCAGCCATATCGCTGTAACGAATACCTCCACCGTCGTGACCTACAATTGCCCAATGAGATCTTCAGAGATTACTATTTTCTTTCCCATCACAAAAGAAGTGACCTGATGATTTGAAGTAGTAGCGTGAATCCAGAATTCTTTAACTAGTCTTGGAAAAACTGGACCCAGTAGTTGATCAAAATACTTTGTCCATCCTTGAAATTCAACATAAGGAGTTAAATCGTATCCATTTTCCTTCATACTGACGAAGTCCACAATGAGTTCACACAGAACTTCCAGCGAATTAATGGGAGTTAAGAGTGTTCTTGACGGTTCTTCGTACCTTTCTGTTGTTGAGGAAGAAGAGCCGGGAACGCTTTGAGAGCTTTGAGCAATTTGTTGGGAGGAAGCCATTGTTCACACAGACTTTTTAGGGTTTTGAAAGATTGAACACAAGTAAGAGAGAAAAAAGGAATTGAGAGTGAAAAAATGATAGTGAAAGTGAGCAACGCATTTATAGAAAAATAGGAAACTTAATTAATAATAAAATAAAATAATGATTACTAACATTAATGATTCCTAAAAAGAGGGATGATGTATAGATATGAAACAATTACCGATACGACACGAGTCTCAATGCATCCAATCAACGTTTCAGTCTCTTCAGAATTTGAACATGTGTTCAGCCTTAGAAGAAACCCTTATGAAGAGATGAAAAATGTTGATATTATGAACTACAAGCCTATATTTGAAATGAACCGTTTGGAGACCATTCATATCTTCTTAGATAGATCCTGATACAACTTTCCTTCTTACTTCTGAAGAATTATTGATCAGATGTTCACACAAAAAAAAACATAGAGTTCTGAGAGTTATCATATACATAAATAAAACTATCATTCTGGGCATAATTTCATGCTGAGATGTTTCATAGTGAAGTTAAACCTATCTTCAGAAAGGGGTTTTATGAAAACATCAGTCCATTGATGGTCGGTGTCTATAAATTTTAATGAAAGAATTCCTTTTTGAATATAGTCCCTAATAAAATGATGTTTTATTTCTATATGCTTAGCCTTAGAATGTAGAATAGGATTTTTTGAAAGACATATAGCAGAAGTGTTGTCACAGAGTATAGGAATGTTACTCTCAAATATGTTGAAGTCTTCAAGTTGACTTTTCATCTAGAGCATCTGTGTGCTACATCCAGCTGCTGCTATATATTCAGCTTCAGCAGTTGACAATGCAATGATGGATT